CCCCAAAACCCCAAAACCCCAAAACCCCGTGATGATATATAACATAAATCTCTCTAAATTTAAGAAATTAAAATAATGAGTAAAGTTGAGAAAATATCCAAAAATAATTATAAATGAAGAAAGTTTAATCAGATAAAAAAAAGTTAATAAGATTTAGCATTATAAATAGGACTTCTCAGAAAGGTTAATAAAATATCCTTTAATGCTTGAGAAAAAATAAACCTTATCTGAGAAACTACTTAGCCCAGATCAACATTTTACTGTGGCCAAGGAATATTCTCAGATCGAAATCAACCAAAACAAAGAAATATATCCTAACTATATAAACTTAAATGATGTAAACGTTTGTGAAGAAGGCGTGATTTAATCAAACTATGATAAGCTACCTCATTATGCCTCAGCCTATTTAGTATAAAATAACTCATAAATTCTAATCAATGGAGTTACAGATCCCGGCACTGGTTAGGTAGGTTACGCTTAACTTAGAGACTTAAACACCTATTAAGAGGTACAAATGAAAATTCTAGATGTTGAACATCATGATTTATAAGGACAAAACATCGGTAGATAACTCATATAATTTAATGTCTCTCCTTGCAAAGAATTCTTACTATATAGCATCTAATAGACAAGAAAATAAAAATATGCCTTACAGATTTGCATTCACAAAATCGACGATTTTTTCGCAGGCAAACCACCATCAGTTAAGATTATAAAAGAAGGAGAGAACGGCCTTTTCAAAAATGTCATATTCGGACCCAAAGATAATATTTTATTTTCTCAATAGTAAAATGCTTATGGAGTTGAAAAAAATGCTATTAAAAGTTGTGTCATTTTTAAATGCAATTACAAAGATAATTAAAATAAAGAGACATAAATATTTGATATATAAGATTGGTGGAAAAATGTGCCTAAAAGAGAGGTAGGATCAGATAAACCAATGACTTATATATCTCCAGATGGCGTATTTAGGTGCTTGATTGGATATCCGGATTTTGAATTAAGTAACTATTTTTATGACAATTGTCTATTCGCGACATATCTAAAAGAGACTAGAACTTTAATTTTTGAAGAAGATTCACTAAAAGTCAAGAAAGATATAGACCATGTCATATATTTCAGTCCTGAGACAGAATATCTAGGCTACGATTCTAAGTTTAATCTCTTTCAAATTATAAATTCTTATGGAATGACTACAATGAAGATTGGAGAATTGAAGACACCTGAAGGATATAAGTTTTAAAGTTCAAAACCAATTTTGCTATAAAATTCAATAATAATGAATGCAAAACATTAAACAAGAAATACTGGGGCTGTACTTGTTTATGATAAGCTGAGATTTAATCTTATCAACCAATATGAAATGAAAGAATTCTATAAGGAATCATAGAATTTTATATTTTACGATAAGGGAGTATTAAAATACTTGTCTAATGAGTCGAAAAAATTTCTTCATTTGAATCTATACAACTCTAGATTTTATAAAGAGGATGATCTAGTCTTTCAACAAACAAATTATTTCAAAACTGAAAATAATATTATCGCCTATCGATGGGACAATTAGCATATAGTCTATGATTTGGAATAAAAAATGAAACTAGTCACTCTACCTTCATAACTTCATTATGAAATGAGCTTATTTTTAAAGCTTGGCACATCTTTTTATCTGATTGGAACGAATAGAAAAGATCTATTTCTAATTCAGCAGGATGATACTTCCATTTATCATCAACTTACTATTGATGGTGGGAAATTCAATGCTGATAATATTTAGATAATTTCAATTTCAAATTCAGACATAAGATTAATTGGATTATCATCTGATAATTTTATTTAAGTACTCAATATAAATCTCAAAGAATTTACCGCTTAAATTGAGAAACTTAACTACTTTGAAGGAATAATTAAGAAATTTAAGTATAATGAACCTCTCCAAGCCTTTAAAAATGATTAAACAGGCCAAATTTTGATTATAATTTCAGCGAATCAGATCTTATACGCATATGATTTTCACTAAAAATAACATAGATAAGTAGAAATCGACGATAAATTAATAAACATCACAATAAGTTGGAATGATAATGCTATTTTTGGACTGGTTGATAATAAGAAATCTGTTAAAGCATATGATTTGCAGACACTTGAAAGTTTTCCCAAATTATCATATATAAGTAAAGATGATATATAGAGAATTACAATGGCAAAGGACTATCTTTTGCTTTATTTAAGTGGTGATGGACTATTTGAATTACTTGAAATAAAGAACAATTCATTTACTTAAAAAAGAATTAGAACTCTAATTATACCAGAGGAAACTCTTAAGCATTTTCCAAGAAATACTCAAATTATTCGAAGTCAATATGATGGAAGTCTTCAGTATTTTAAGTTAAGCACTGAGGACTAAGGAACGTATTAATTAAACACATGGATTTAAAAATGCGATCCACTTAAAACTAATTAGACCAGTAATTGCTGTAACTTGGATTACCCACTTTTATAGCTAGATCATCTTCCAAATGCAAAATATGTCTTAATAAACAAAAACAACGGAATGAGTTTCTACCATGATTAAAGAGACAAAAGAATAGGTTATGTTAGCTCATACTTTAACACAGATGAAGTTGTCAAAATAAAAGAATCTAAACTTAAAAACAATGATACCTTGCTTACAGAATTAATCAACATCGATCCTTATCTCAAATTCTATCCAGGAATAGGAAATATTTTGAATTAAATGGCTTTAAGGCCTATAATTCTTGAGTTTATTTCAAAGAAGCTTTCTCTTATGGATAAGTCAGAGACACCTATTATCCTTATGAAATCTGAAATTAACGGAAAATCTCCAATCGATATTGCCTGTGAGAAAAATCAACTAAAAAGCATAGGCATTCTACTAGAATTGCTGACAAAATATTAAAATGATCACGGGTTTAATTACTTGATTGACTAAAGACTAGTGTATTTCATAAAGAAAGGTCTAGATTTGACAGAATATTTTGATAGTTTCCTACCAAAACTCACTATAATCAGTGAAAATTACCCTACCGAGCACCAAGATGAAGATGAATACATATTGGGAGTTAATGACTTACCAAGGCCAAGTGATATCAATGAAAAGTATGACGAAATATTTGGGTAGGTATTAGTTAACAGTACATCTGATGGTCTTGCATCAATAGAGTATTTCCTCATTAATCTACCTGATACTCTGACAAAGAACCCTAAAAATTTAATGATTGCTCTTAGTGAAAGCGAAAACATTGAGTACTTTGAGAATCTCACCATTCAGACAATAATTAAGTTTAAGTGGAACCAATATACCAAGAATTATTTTTAGAATCAGTTCTTTATCTTCTTAGTATTTGTAGTATCTTTTGTTTTAGAGATATACTAATCAATAAGCTTTGGAAAAACTTAAGCACTTCCAACAGAGGAAGAAAGATTATAAGGAATTGAATTTTATCCAGACACAAGAAATCTGGTGATTATGATAATTAATAAAACTATATGCTCATCAGTGTTGCTTTATTTCTTTTACTATGAGGTAAGATAAGCTAGCAAGTAAGTTGGATACTTCAAGGAGCTATGGAATCTCTTTGATTTTTCTTTAATTGCATCCTACACAATCCTCAATATTGTGGAATACACAACTGGAGATAAAAATGCGATTATAATTATGGATATTGTAGTTGTACTATTATCTTTCTTAAAAGTCAACTTCTTCCTCAGGATTTATGATGGCTTCAGCTTTTTGGTTTCAATGATGAGCAGCGTCTTCAAAGACATATAGTACTTTATTCTATTCTTTCTTGTCTTTATTTTCTAATTTGGATTGATCTTCGTTATTCTCTTTAGTGCTCAAAGAATTGAGGAATATGATGGAATTGGAACTGTCGGTTACTTCCTTATGATATTCAGAATTTCCTCTGGAGATTTTGCAGTAGATAATTTCAAAGACTAAGGATCAACTTTCTTGGTAGGTTTGTCTTGGACAATATGGGTTATAGCTGTATTGATTCTGAACATTGTTTTTATGAACTTTATCATTGCTGTGATCTCAGAGTCCTATGAAAAAGTTATGCAGAAATTAGTAGCTGAATCCTACAAAGTAAAAGCCAATATGATTGTTGAGAGGGAATTGCTTTTGAATCCTAATGATGAGGAAGAAAGAAGATTTTATTTCCCTCAGTATATGATTTTAAGAAGACCAATTGAAACTTCTGATGGTGATTCAGGTAAAATTCAAAAATTATCTTTATTTTTATTTAGGAGAATGGCAAGGATTTATTAAGGATTTGAAGTACACGATTAGAACTTCAGCCTAAAAATCTAAAACTGAAGTCATATAAAACGTTATTCCAATCCAAAATAAAATTGAAATTCTAGGTAAAAACTCCGCCTCATAGCAAGAAACAATGATTTGCGTTCAAACATAAATCGAGCTACTTTAAAAGCAAATTCTGGATTAAAATTCAAAAATCGATACCCTTATCAATAAGTAGAATTTACCTGCTATTGGAAAGGATGATATTGTCAATCTCAACTAAAAAGTAGAGACACTCTCACTTAAAATGGAAGGATATGATAAATCTTTGGAACAAATCAGTGCCAATATTTTGAAACTTCTTGAGAAATGACCTCAAATTAAAAGAATAATAAATTTAATTTCATAAATCTCATTACTTTAAATATTCGATGTTTAGGGGGTTTTGGGGTTTTGGGG